TTTTTTTTTTTAAGGAAATCTGTAAAGAAAGAGGACGCACATGCGCCCACACGCTCTCAGAACAGTCTATCCTCCTCTAATAACATCACACAAGGATGCAAATAAGATGTCAATCATAATAACAAACATACAAATTATCCGAGCGACTGTAACTGCCATCCCTACACAGCCTTAATCATGAAGTTGCATTCTTTGACAGTTCTGCACGTCAAGTACACACAACATAAACTGCTGCAGAACTAAACAGCACTAATGATTTACATTTATTTTACACCAAACCGCTGCAAACACTGAGCGAGGTTTCTTTGGGTGGCGTCCAGCTATCGTGTCACGCCACGCTGGTGGCAATCTGCTTCGGCAACAACATTGCCGCTTTCCCAACGTTTTGCAGAGGACCACGAAGTGACACGGCCAAGTTAATTAATCACACAATCATCCAGTGATTATCAAGCTCTTGCTCCCCCCTGGAGTGGAATACATCAGCGAGACGGCGGAACGCCGGTCAGCCCGGACCACCGGCCTCAGTCAAGTCCCGCACAAGGAGAGATGGCAGCGGCAACATAGACAAGGTGTTAATTGATTAGGGTGGAATCAGCGGAGCTGGGGCCCAGCCACTTTACCACCCTGATTAGATGGATGAAAGGTTCATTTATAAGCTTGACAGTCACAAGATAATTACTAAAGCATGCAGTAATATATGCAACAGCATCTGGGAGCGGGGCTATGTGCTGACGGACAGCACCGTGTGTGTGTGTGTGTGTGTGTAGTATTCTATTGCCTTTACACAGCAGAGGCCTGGGGATTTAAACGCCACAAAAATGCAGAACATTCATGAGCTAAAAGATTGCATTACAACTATTCGGATTGTCAGAGGCAAATTTGGGATAGTTGCAAAATGTTTACAATCAGTTGTTTGAATAAATTGCTGAAGCAAGAGGAACAACTAGCAGCATCCTATTGTGTGTTTGAGCTGATTGTTGCATAGCCTTAGCTACTGTAAGATATTTTTTTGTGTTTCCTTTTAGCAAAATGAGTGAATTTGCCTCCGGTTAAAAGATGGCACAGGGTAAATGTTTCTATTTGGAAAAATAAGAAAAGGAGTGAATCTGGTCTGCGCTGCCTTTGGCGAGGTTGAAAAGTAAGTGTCACAATGAGTCTTAAAACTCCTTTTAAGACACATCTGAATACATTTATGGTCTCAATCTCTACTTTCAAGTCTTTTTCAATACACCATGATACTCATGTTCCCCAGTGATTTCCCTGTCAATATATAGCCCCCCCACACTTCTTTTCTCTTACACGATCAGGTCCGTACATGGCATCTCTATCTCACTCCTTCACATTCCAAATATGGTTATTTACGTTTACTGGTTCCAAAAAGCCAAAATGGTGACAGACACAGTCCAAGTTGGCGACGGCCAAATCGCTGAATTCACAACGGCAGTCCTCAATGTCTACATCCACATCAAAGCTCAGAACAATCCACCTTGCTCCTGGAATGATGTATAGATTAACATCCTATGTTCAAGAAGTCTTCAAAAATATAGATCCACATTGACAATCTACACCCCGCTTGTTTTAGAAGCTTCAATACTTCCTCTTTGACCTCACCTGCCTCTCCCACTCTGTATCTTCTCTGTGATTGATAATGGTGCACATTCAGGGGCGGATTTACATAAATAAAAGCACAGGGTGAATCCGTGCTGCCAATTCCATTCAATTTGTGTTCTGCTGTCTGCGTGTAATTACTAACTGATTTACTAAAGCAGCAGCAGCAGCTGCGTCTGAGATCTGACTTCTCGGTGGATTCTGCAAATCAATGAGAGCGCAGAGGAATGCAGGCCAGGACTGGATTGAAAAAAAATTATCTTAAAAAAACACCGCCTGGCAATAAAGAAAAGGAAAAACTGTTTAAAACAAAATTAAATTAAAAGTCCAACAGGGGCTCAGAGTGGAGCAGGTGAGGGAGACGGGATGACTTTGATTGATTTCTCATTATAATACAAAGATAGAAGCAGCAAAATGCAACTGATGTCTTATCAAAAGAATGTAATTACTAGCCTGTTCATGCAGTTCATAGATGTGGAGTTTAATGAGCCGCTAAACAGAATCCCTCGGGTTTGCTGTTAATTCTGCTCAACCCTTTCCTGAGTCGAGACCTACTTTTTTTAAATGACAAATTCCCACATCATAGGCAAACCAGTCATTGAGTTGTTAGGTAAACAAGTAATTTTAAAGAGGTTAGGGTATGACTAATCAGAACTTTAAATGAATCATATCATATCATATAATATCAATAAGAATACATTTATTTTAGCTGGTTCTTTCAGCAAAAACAAATCCCTATTCTAAACAAATCCCTACCTTTGTGATATTTATCACTAGTCTGTACCGTCCCACCACTGACTGTCTGGTGGGACATACATCATGAACCTAGTATGCATAGTTTGTCCATTTCGTGTTAATAAATATCTTTTTGAATACTCGTTTCATTTATGTCTACAATGGAACTCAGTGAACGTGTACAAATGATAAACAAAACTACAAACGGATAAGTACCGAGTGTAAGTACAAAGTGTTCTTTAAAGAAATATCACAGTACACTCCAACATGCTCCAAGGTTTGGAAATAAAACAGGACAATAAATAATAGAACAGAATAAGAAAAGGCTCTTGACAGCTCAAAGCTTTGGCACCACGTCACTTTACTGCATTTATGCTCATTCAGGGAGAATAAATACGATTTTCTTTTTCATGCTTTTGGCGTTTGCAACAAACAGTAACATAAAGAAGCCTCCCGGTAGATAATGGTGAACACAAGCTGTTGTTTAAAAGAAATCCTGTGGAAAGGAGAATATCAATGCAAAATATCTTCCCCGTATGAGGGAAAAGCAGGGAGGAAAGTATGTTAACGAAGTCAGTCATTCGGGTGGTAGTTTGATCTGGGTTGCCATGTAAATTGGGAGATTTGAACTGTCTTTTATATCTGAAGTAATTGTTAGATCTTTGTATTGGTCTGCTAATTGTAGCCAACCAGTATCATTCAACTTTAGGTTAGCGTTTAACGGATGAAAGAAAAGAAAAAATACATTTATTTTGCCATTTAATTGGTCTTAAGTAAAACAACAGTTGTGAATGATGAAACAATATATTGCTACAAAATAGCTTAGGAACAGGAATAGTCCGGAACGTTTATTTACTCACAAATTCTCTTTTCTCACGATTTATAGAGAAGCTACTCATGTATTGGGTCACGATGGGTTAGTCATTTTTAAAAAGTGGGTGCAAAGGAAATAGAAGTTTTGAAAACCCTGCACCAAGTAACACATAGTCAAATATCCATCAGACTTCAAAGCCCTGGCTTCAAATCTGCCCTCTGTCATCTCTTGGTACACGACAGGAATTGGATGGATATTTTGGTTTCTGACATTTCAGTGCAATGTTGTCTCAACTCTGTGGACTCCTATCAGATCAGATAAGGAGCAATTTCAGACTCTTAGAGTCCCATATCCCACTAACACGTTTTCATATTTGTGGTAGAACAGTGGGAAAATGTTCGGTGCTTTAGGGGAGAATAGATGCATTTGTGACAAGTAGCCCACGGGAAATAAACAAGGTGGTTTTCTTGGCATTTGCTTTTGGAAGTAAAAGGCACAGCTAGGACTCCGAAAAGCTCAGTGCTTTGTTGCATCAGCAGCAAACTACCAAAGGCTGATATTTAAGAGGACTCTTTGTACCGTAGCAGTTCGAGCAGTACTTGAAGTAGCAACAGAATAACAAAAACAAAAGACTAAGACAAAAGGGAAATCTGGCCGGGTACAAATGCCACAGTTGACGGTTAAGGAGCTGTTTTGGAAACAGTGTGGATATTTGGAGATCTGACAGTTTTTATATAGATGCTCAATTAGTGTTGATGGTAAAGTTATGGGACTGAAGCAAATAATTACTGTGTGTGCTATATTTACGAAGGGAATTATTGATGGTGGTTGGTTCATCAGTTTTGAGAATGTTAAACTAATTTAATTAGTTAATTGGATACTAATACAACAAGTTAAGCTTATGCTTCAGCTATTCAGCTGATCCGTAAATGTTATGTCACACATTTTAATATTTGAAACCAAAGAAATTTGCTTTACATTTCTATTTTTGAATGGCCAGTTCTCATTTTAAGAGTAAAAGTCATATATTTGTTAAGTTATGAAAATAGATTTTTGTGATATTTTACAGTACACAAAATACTGCTGAGCCTTCAGCCTCAGCCTCAGTAATAAAAGTCAGATGATGACAAAAGGCAGAAGGAGTAATCAATAATTGTAAACTGCATGTTTTGCATAACTCTCAAGATAACGTTTATAACGTCATTTGTGCTTCTACTTCGGTACCATCTACCACCATAATTGCTTGCATTTTAGCATGAATATTCTTTAATCTCTAAATAAAACATTTCCCATTAAAAAACCTCCCACAAGCTGTTTCCCTCTCATTGAGGTGCACTATAAAAGTAAGGATGAAGCATACTGGATTTCTCGAATAGCTTCTCCAAAGCCCACCTAAAAGGCTCAACTTGAGTGTGTCAGAGTACTTGAAAAGAGATTTAATTGTGAGAGGGCGGAGGCATGACAGCTTATCAATACAAGGAGGGGGATTTAGGAGAAGAAAAACACTAGCAGAAGGCGCAAAGCTTCTGCAAATAACGAGAGGTATTGGAGTCCCTGACAGATGGAGAGGAAAAGTAACCTGGCTGCAACATTTCCTGGTTGCTAAGCACCACCTGGATGGGAATGAAAGCCTCGCTGGCCAAGGAGGCACGAGAGACAAAGTCAAACCGGATACTCAGACACGTGGCTGAGTGCAGGTCTGCTGCTAGTCTTTGATGTAGGTCATCTCGGCCCTGCAGATGTGCCCATGATAATTATACTTGTAGACGGTTGACACAAAATGTTCGTTCAACTTTAGAATATGAACCGCTAAAGGAGATCTTTAATACGAGTGATGGCTCACCATGCATCCGGTGGAGTCCAGCTTTCGGTCCGATATGCAACGGAAGTTGCGGCTGCAGCCTCCGTTGTCTTTGGTGCAGTCTCTGACGGGCCCAAAGGAGTCAAGGAGGACCTCCAACGAGTCAAAGGACGAGCTAACCATCAGCTCCTCTCTGTTACAGTGTGAAAGGGGAAAGAAAAGAATACGTTTTCACTGTACATCTATTGTCAGCAAACATCCAACATCATGGTGAACTGATTCTGAAAAATTTAAATTTGGTTGACCATCGTTCATCCTTGATTTATGACAGTATTAACCTTTGAGGGCCTTTTAAAACTTTGAAATTTGACACAAAAACCAAGGTTTTGTGTCTGATACTCTAGATTCAGTTAGTCTTGGTTACATATTGCAAATATGCAAGCACACTAAAGAACTCTACATGACAGAACTGCATCCTGCCGTTATCACCTGCAGGAGCTGCATCTATCTTAACTTTGTAAATGGCTTATAATGGCTCTTGTATCATCCCTTCCTCTTATCCCTCCAGTATCCTCTCATAAAATAATTTCAGAATGAGTTATTTTCTAAAAGGCCCTTTATAATAGAAGAATAGAATATAATAACTTATTCTCTTCTTGCCATATGTTACCAAGGCTTATTTAGTTTTTCCTTTTTTCAATTTATGATACCACCCCTTTGGTTTATTTGCATGGCTCAAGAAACAAACTTCAGAAAGATTCAATCTAGTTTTGGGCCACAACCACCACAATAGCATCAAAACCTTAACAGCCAAGTTTAACTTGTCTCTTTAGGAAGAGAGGAACAGGAATTGTTAAGTAATTGTTTGGTGGCGGTCACATACGTCAGCTGTTGTGTCTGTTTAGCACGGCCTGTTCTCCCTGGTTGGGTTAGTTTGCTGGTTATTCCCACAGTCACACATAACCACACTCCTGAAACAGTGATCTTCTGTTCAAACTGCATACTAAGACTACCAGTTTGCATCAATAATATATAGTTCGAAATTTCGTTGTTTGTTTTAGTCTGCATGGATTGTGTTGCGGTTTAATGTATATACAGCATGCAATTTCCTTTGACCAATGGCTTAGAAGTACTGTTTATTCTATCTTTTCTTTCATGAGGACAGTAATTATCTATATTATATAAATATATGTCACGGTGGCGTGGTGGTTAGAGCTGTCGCGTCACACCAAGAAGGTCCTGGGTTCAACTCCACTTTGTGGCCTTTCTGTGTGGAGTCTGCATGTTCTCCCCGTGTCTGCGTGGGTTCTCTCCGGGTACTCCGGCTTCCTCCCACACTCCCACATGCTCTGGGGATCGGGTTGATTGGGGACTCTGAATTGCCTGTAGGTGGGTGAATGTGAGTGTGAATGGTCGTTTGTCTCTGTGTCAGCCCTGCGATTGGCTGGCGACCAGTCCAGAGTGTACCCCGTGTCTCGCCCGAAGTTGGCTGGGATAGACTCCAGCCCCCCCACGACCCTGTGTGCAGGATAAGCGGTTTGACGATGGATATATATATATATATATGTTTTTCTACAGACCCTACAGAGAATGATTGGAAAGGTTTAAAAAGCTAAACTTGCTTCCATCGCACCATAACATTGTTAAGACTCTTTAAAACAAGCATTAATTTTGTTGTATTCACTTTCTTCTTGGGCAAAAGGTCTGCATAAGCTACCAACTGGAGTGTGGAACTAGGCTGGAGTCTTCAAAACAGAAGACTCCATAAAACTTCTTTTATTAGACAAACTAAATATCTGTATGCCATTAATTTAACATCATTTCTATTCCTACATGGCCGCGTTTACAATTCTCCTTTACTGTCCGTATTGCCTCGATGCACACATGAACACACATACGTACGCTGACACCAGTGGGCAGAGAGTGTGCGTTGAAAAATATGTCAGTGTTCCCACCCCTATGCGGTATGAATTGGAAATGGTCTCAGTAACAAGTTATATCAACTTACGCCAGTCTAATGAATGCAATTCAGTCGTTAAATGGCATTGCCTAATGTCAGCAATATGCTGTCATTATAGTCAATTCAGATATCATATTTTTTTTGATTATCTTTCATTTAAGGGGGACAAAAGGGAAGGCTCCCTCAATATTCTGTTTTGAAAGAGATTCTGCGTCACGCTGCTCTCTATTTCACCTTATGGTTGAAATGTAAGTTGCCTTGGATAAAAGCGTCAGCTAAATGACATGTCATTTTTGTTCCGATCTACATTATTGGGCCTAAATGTTTTGGGATTGTTTGTTTGTTTAGGTATGTGGCCATAACGTACAGACTGTGTCTCCACCTGCTGAGGTCTGATCAGCGTAGCTGCAATTAATCTCAATAATTGATCTGATGGGTTCTTAACCGTGATATAATACCCAGGTACTAGATGACAACTTAATCCTCAGCCCTTTTAGAATCCCACGGATTGTACTTTTTTCTACTTGACGCCAGGGTGAACAATGGCCATCAGCTGTGAAAAGTCCCAACATAGCACTGCCTGTCGTGGGCTCCTACGTATCCATACCCACTTGAAGGAAACTATCTGTCTGCAACTGAAGCTTGTTGTGTTACAAACAAATTTGATTCAAAATGGGAAGAAAATAAGCATACAGTCTCATTTGACAACCCATAGGGTGCGTTTAAAATCAATGGCCCTAAAGTATTACCTGGGGTATATAACATATTTCGACACTGACATCAGTCTGTAACTGAGAAAGGAAATAAGGTTAAATTATGGGCACCATTAATATGGATAGTAAACACTGACAGGGATAGAAGTACATGTGCGTCATTAAGCCTAGAAAGTACCGTAGGTTTAAGCGCCAAGATATACCATACAATTTACTCGCATTAGCTAGTGAGTAAATTCAGACAGGAGTGGAAATTACAACCAAAAATGTATTTGAATGTAAACTATTTTCTAAAGATTACGTCTTTGATGCATTTTTGTCAATAATATTCACTCAATTTCGCTTTTATATAACGCAGAACCGAAGGGAAAATTAAATCTGAAGGTGTCAATTAGCACGTTTCGTCTCACAGCTTAAGAAATAAGAAAAGCATGAATAATGCAAACGTTTAAAAGCACCAAGATAGAAGTCTTCTGTAGGTAACGCGACAGGAGTGCACTAATAAACACATTGAGGAGACAAAGAGAACCCACCGAGGCTGATTCCTCATTTAGTCACAACTGCAATGAAGCCAGCTAATCAAGGGAGGAAAGGCTTACCGCTACTTATCTATCTGCCAGGGAGCAACACAGAGGGACAAATGATCATCAAATGTGCCTCAAAGGCAGAGTAAAGCAGCAGCTCGGAGATGCCGGAGCAGTGTTTCCTCGTGGCCCCCGGGGAGAGCTGCACAGAGCGTTCATCAGATCCCAGATCAGAGGGAAATGAGTTATTTACACAGCGGCTTGGAAAAAGCTGGCAAATGAAAATAAAATGTTGAAAAAGATGGGAGGATTGGAATGTGTAAACATGGCGTGGGAGGGAATTGCCAAACAGTACCCCAGTACCTAATTCATTCACAGTTGATATGATGCAATATGTAACAAAGAGAACGTCAGCTCAGGTGGAAGAGAAAACATAATGCCTCACTTTCAAGAACTAAGCTATTTGTCAAATAAAGTTAAAGTTCAGTACACAAAACTTTCCCGTACTTGTATTTGTAAAGTTGCCGTGACTCTATATATCAAAGCTATTTTGATAAAGAACAACACACTATTTAGAAACAAAGATTCATCAGGGATCTGAATTACAAAGTCTGGAATGGTTCCTTGATTGATACATATAACATTTTAAGCAACTGCTATATTATTTTCAGGTTGATTTGTTATCCTGAGTGGCGGAAGTAGCTGTGTTCGATGCGTGGCCGGCTCAAGGACCACGCAGGACATTTTTCTCTCCCCACTAATGCATGTCAATGCCGGAGATACACACTGTGAGCATATGTTTGTATATGTGATGTGGTAGATTATAGGGAGAGGTGAGGGGGTTGTAGGGGAGGTATCTTGCAGCCAGATGGCTCCACCCCCGAGCCTTGTATGGACTTCCTGCCTAACGAGGAGAGGGTGAGAACAGTTTAGTAATTAAGGGGAGCCTAAGAAGGGGAACAAACAACCCAACAGGGAGGAAGAAGAGGAGAGAGAACAGACAAGACCAAGTGAGACGTAGTAGAGAAAGTAGAGAAAAGAAGATTTAACCAAGTGTAGGATTAACTGGATTGATCTGGGGTCTGTTTCAAGTAGGAGGTTTAACAAACTCTGAGTTTATTTACCCTGAGATGGGAAACTCTGAGTTTTCGGTTTCAGAACAGCTGTTTAGAGTTGGTTCAATCAACTCAGAGTAGGTTGACTCAGAGTTGAGTGCGTGCACCGCCACAGTATGAAGGCAGCATGATCCGCCTACAGGTGGGAGTCTGACCATCTGGTGTCCTGGTGCAGTCAGAACAACCTGGAGCTCAACGCTCTAAAGGCAGTGGAGATGGTTGTGGATTTCCGGCGGAACAGAGCCCCACCCTCCCCCATCACCCTGTGTGACTCCCCCGTCACTATTGTGGATTCCTTCAGTTTCCTGGGCTCCATCATCACCCAGGACCTCAAGTGGGAGCTGAACATCAGCTCCATCACCAAGAAGGCTCAGCAGAGGTTGTTCTTCCTGAGGCAGCTGAAGAAATTCAACCTGCCAAAGACGATGATGATCCACTTCTACACGGCCATCATCGAGTCCATCCTCTGCTCCTCCATCACCGTCTGGTACGCTGCAGCCACAGCCAAGGACAAGGGCAGGCTGCAGCGTGTCATCCGCTCTGCAGAGAGGATGATCGGCTGCAATCTGCCGTCCCTGCAGGACTTGTTCGCTTCCAGGTCTCTGAAGCGAGCTAAAAAGATCGTGGCCGAACCCTCTCACCCCGGACAAAAACTGTTTGTGCCCCTTCCATCTGGCAGGAGGCTGAGGTCCATCAGGACTAAGACCTCCCGCCACACGAACAGTTTCTTCCCGTCGGCAGTCGGGCTCATCAACATAGCCCGGTCCCCCACTGACTGACTATAACATTCCACCGGTCACTCCCCTTCACACTGCACATGTCACTTTAACTGTAATTCATCAACTCTATTCCCTTGTTTTATACTAACCCATAGCCTTATTCTACTAACCCATTGCATTAGCATTTCATTTTACTTTATTTTATTACTTGTGCACTGCTGTCTTGTCTGTCTACTGTCGCGCACCAACCGCCAAGACAAATCCCTTGTATGTTTGGCATATTTTGTTAATCAATGTTTCCTGATTCTTGATGATCGGTCAGCGTACTTGAGCTGGAAATATTAATGCAAGCGTACAGCAGCTTTACTAATATTCTAATGTTGTAAAGGAAACTGCCGTTTGCAAAAAAGTAATACACTACACAAAGAATGTGCTTGGATGTGAGAGCATGTCCACGATGGGGAACGTTACTTATGAGAACGGGTGAGGTTATGTACATATTTGATGCAATGTGAAGAAAAACGATACCGTTCAAACAAGTGGTTATCTGGAAATGACAATATATCTAATCAGGGCCTCAATAGTCTCTGCCGACGTGTATAACACCCTGCAAAGTAAAACCGCTTATTCATCAACATGCTCGTCCAGAAAAGGACGTGCCATGTCCGAGAAAACACTAGTCTTTCACGTAACATCTTATTTTGTGCGTATGTGGAAACTGCACTAAAATCCGCCTGATACAGAGTACTTGAATGAATGAGGAAATGAAAGCGCGCTGTTGTATTTGGCTAGGCTGCTGTCGGAGGGAGGAGACTATGAAAGAAACTCAAGGTTTATTGAAGAAAACCTGCTCCCGACCAGGCTCAGATACCATAGTCACTGACCCTGAGCTTTAGTTACCTCCCTTTGTGAAACAGATAAACCACAGTTTCCCTCATCTCAGGGTTGACCAACTCGGAGTTTCCACTAAACCCGCTTCTTGATACGGACCCCTGGATTGGCTCACTACCCCCCGTGAGCCGAACTACTTTGGAAGAGGACCTACTTGTGTATGACTTGGTAAAAGAAGACGACGAAAATGGCTTGGGCATGGTGACGTGGTGTTGAGCTTATCCTCCTACACATCTATTATTCTAAATAAACTGTATCCAGTGGCCGGCTTGTGTTCTTGAACAGTGACGTGGAAACCCACACCCATGGGCTTGCCACAGTGGGTATCCAAGAAATATGGGTATAATGCATATACACTATTGGATCAATCCCAATGAGAATTGAATAACCTTCTTAGTCTTAAGTTTGTGGAATAAATAAATGAGACTGTCATAACTTGGGGTTTGGATAACCAGCAAAATGTTATTAATATATTATCTTTATGTATTGTGTTTACTTTTATGTACTTGACATAGTGAATACTTATGTGTATATATAAATGTGTGTGTGGATTGTCAATCGGCGTCGCATTGGATGCTGCTCCTCAGATTCATTTCATTTCATCGTACTCTGGATTTGGGACCACTTGTCTCAGTCAACTGAGGGTCCAGAAATGAGCGAGTGGCATAGCAAACTATTTTAAACATGCTAATGAGAAAGATGATGGGGGTATTCATTTGAGCGAGACTAATTTCACCTGACATCGTACACAAGGCAGATAACCGTCGGGCAAATTAGAGCAGGATCTGACATGGTTGTGCGCACTGACTTGTTGACAGGGCATGTACCAGCATACACTAAAATACAAATCTCCACCACTAATTATAATAATGCACCGAGCCTGTTCACACAGAGCTCTTTGCTCCAGCGTAATCCCTTCCAACCACACGCGGTCACATAACTCCCTGGGTGACCCTAAAGGATGCTGACCACTGAGTAAAATAGGACCTATGTTCTTGGAAGGTTATGAGTTTATGTAAAGGTGCACCTTAAGTCGCTAACTCTAAATGGACAACAATTTACTAAATCAACAGCATACTATATTGAAGAAGACTAGAGACTCATCTTGACATGGTTTACTGATGGAATACTTCTAGTGAGAAGCAGTTTTTTTCTTATATACTTCTATACAATGAGACCTATTTTTTGCAAACAAAGGGGACACCGCCTGCTGGCTGTTTAAAATTACTTATGCTTTGTTTACACACAAACTCACAAACCCGCACGGCTACCAAGGAGTCCTCCACATCAATATTTAGGGCAACACAATTCAAAGATTTGAGGAATGTGCTGGATAACAATGACTGTACTGTGCCACAGGCTGCTAATTTATTGATTTTATTTTAAAAAGGCCATGTGAACTTGATCTCTGTCATGCGTGGCAGCTTAGAAGAAGCCTATTTCTGGACCAGTTTTGGAGCGAGCAACACCACATCCTGCTGCCCCGCCCCTTTGTTAGCAAAAAAGGGTTGAATTTATCGGTTCAGTCACTGCCGTCAGCTGAGTCCAGTTTATTAATGCAGCCTTGTTTTGGCTCGCAGACGGCTTAACTGCAAGCCAGAAGCTCAAAAGGCACCATTTCTTTGAAGGAGTTAGGATCCACTTAACAATAGAGATACTCTTCATTGCATTTATCCATTTTTGCCTTTTCTGCATCTTCATAATTTATTTTGTGTTAGATGTTGGGAGTATTATTACCCGCTGGATGATAAAGGACCATGGCACGAACCTCACAGGGCCACTTAAGAATATCAAATACAAACAAAATTTGTGCTGATTAAGTGAGAATGAAAGTCATTAATTAGCCCAGTCCAGGTTTAAACTGTTTTCATGGGGATGATGGAAGAAAAAAAGGATTGTCAAGAAAAAATTGAGCCAATATTTACTTTGGTGTGCGCTGTAAGGCTTCACCGTGAACAACGCAACACAAAGTGGAAAGAGGTAATACTTCAGTTTGAACCAACATTCCTACCTTTCTTCTGTGGCAGCTTTCTATTATTGTGTCAGAGAGATCACTACGGGAAAGCAACAGTGGACCGCTTAACGCCTTCTTACCGTACGTCCACCGCGTCCTCCATGACGGTCATGTCCGTCTTGCACTTGGCCGAGGGGTTGATGGCGAGTTCGGCGGGCGGGATGACAAAGCTCTTGCTCAACGGCAGCCACATCCCTTCTCCTAAGGTGTACGTGAATCTGCAGAGGGCGAAATGGGTGATTGGGAGGCCGTGGTTACAAAACAAATGGCACCATGACCAGGGTTGGAAAAGGGCAGAACATTTCCGTACATTTTTGGAAAGTTAAGCTTGTGAATTTTGGAAATTCAGACTTTGTTTTTGCAAATTTCTTTTTGCAAAAGCATGCAACAAGGAACTTAAATGTAGTCGACAAGACATCAAGACTATGCAAGCTTACCTCAGCTGGACCCAGGATGCAACTTGTCGGGAACATGGTAAGCGTAAACGTTGTGTTGTTTTTGAACATCTTTGCCATTACCTGGCATATTGATTACTTGGTAAACTGAAGCCATGTTCCGTTTCATACCAAGTTATTGTTTGTATACAGTAGGTTATACTGTACTGTACTTATACTAAAATGTTTCATGGAAAAAATCCCCAAAAATGATACTGCTAACACGCGGATGTTTAGTCAGTTTGGTTTGGGTTGGTATGTTTGCATTAGAATCTCCCATCAGCACTTAAAGCGCAGTGCAGAGTAATTAGACTGTCATTAGTTTGAGTTCAATGACTTAATGTTGATTTCACCTGATGAGGGCGCTAGATAAAAAGTTATGGGATCAACAGAGAGATATCAAGTCATCTCTAAATTGGGTTAAAAGCAAACACTGGCATTAAACTGTAAAACGTTGAGCTGCTGGTGGCGCTAAATGAAATGAAAGGGTATCACCAAAATGTTTAGGATCCCTCTTCTGGGCACCATTAATGTTGTGGCAATAGAATGCTTCAGATACAATACATTTATTGAAACACGATGTAATATTCAGAATCAGACCAAAAGTCAACGTGATTTTTCCATTAGATCTTGGATTTTTGCAGGAAATGTGCAGCCACATGTTTATGATACTTAATGTCTTGTTCAGCAAGATCCTTTTCACAAATCAACATCGCTCATAAATAAAAAGCTAATGTTGGAATAGCTAGGCTTTGTATTTTATATGAATGCATATATATATATGAACATAAATGTGTTTTATACATGTGTATTTTATCTTGTAGAGCAGTCTGTTAAACAACCTAACGCTTCTCTTTTAAATGGGTTTTTGGTACCCAAACAAAAACGATAAAAGATCTAATTCGAGAGGACGGTACCGGAAGACTCATTTCTGGGTTTGAGTCATTCTTGCAGCACTCTGTAATTCCAATATTGGTTGAGATGTTTCAGTCGTGCCAAAATGATGGACAGCCATCCTCCCCTCCAGAGTTGTAAAAAACAAAAATGCCTACTTACAAACTTACTGTATTGAGTAGAAATAGCTGACAAAATGAAAAAAATCCTGTTCTCAAAACTGCAGTTTGTTGTTTGTCTGTTGTGGGAAAACTATACCTACATACAGAGATGAATGTGTTTTCTCTGCTCTCTCTTTAGAACTATGACATGAAGCTGCCTCGAGGTTATTTATTCTACCTTTGAGCAATATCCTTTTTTTTACAGAAGGACACTGTATACTAATAGCTAATGCCAAATATGCATGCCAAATTAGAAACTGAAAAAAAATAGGCCAAAAGGACTCCTCCTTGAGACCAAACAAGGCTATAAATCTGTAACCAAGGAGATCCGGAACAAGGGGTTTAACACGATTCTTTATCTGTGAGTCATCAATCAAAAGTATCATCAATCTTTACACACTCTCAGACTTTAAGCTTAACAGTGAACACTGATTAACATCAAACACATTATTAGCACTGATGAATTATGCATGCAAACTTGTGATACATTGGAGGGGGAATTGTTGATTAAATGGTTAACAGCATTTTCTTTTGGTGTTTTATGCAGACTGCACACATTCCCCCATGTAAAATTGCTCAATTTGCATTTGGTAATTTGCTAACTTAGCATAAGCAAAGGGCAGCGTGCATTCATTACCAGCCGCATTACAGTCTGATTGCACCGTCGTGGAACACTTACTTACATCTGCCCAATTACTCCCTTTGCTTAGCAAGTTTTTTGGTGGTTCAAAGTGCTGCTGCTCGGCCATTCACTGCAGTCTTCTCGCGACGCAAATATTTCAGCATTGTTTGTTTTCCTGGAAGCTCTCTACCGCAAGTCATTGCGCCATCTCATGTGGGACTGGGGCTGAGGCTCCCTGTGACGCAGTTTGACGTATGTATGGCGGAGGGCAGGACAAATTAGCAGCCACTTAACGAGCACTCTTCTATAATGGACAACCAGGGACAAATGTGCTGCCGTATGAGTTATTTGGTCCACCGTGAGAGGAATTGCAGGTGGAAAACAGAGTCCCAGTGAGAAAACGAGTGTTGATTAGAAAACATGGCTGCGGTCCTCAGAGGGTTCCCCCCAGTGGACACTGTCCATGGGACACTGTGCTGTGCATGTGTTTGAATGGTGACTCTCAGCATTCATCTCCTCCAACACTGGAGCTGTGACTCATACAATAGAGTCTGCTTTGTTGCATTTTACGGTCCTTGTACTGCTGTGACTCTTGTTGCCTCCTCTGCTTCTGTAATTAACGTGATATCCACTTTGGTGAACGCGCTGGCGCCTACGTCGATGGCTCTCCAAGCACTCGCCCATGTCCAAGGTCCGTCTTTGGTCGCCTAGCCAACTTCCAAACTTGGAGGCTAAATGAGGACGGATGGCTGTGCTGTGGCAGCCCTCACGAGGATGGAGACGTTTTAAAGCACACGGCCGGACGGAGGGAGAAGCAAAAGGCCTCTTGGAAAATAATAAACATCCCAGCATGGCGAGTGATGTATTTAAGCACTTCCTGGAGACTTCGTCCACTCTGGAGGTAAAGATGACTGCCCACGGTGCACCAGGATTCCGCGGGTTTCCTTTTTAATTGGGAGCTGTAGACTTCTGTTTTTGCTGCTGCACTGTGACACTTATAATGAAGACAGTAGTGCATCCTCTGTTAGATCACTTTTGTCTCGAGTAAAAGAAACCTATACATTTGGGGAATAAAAGCAGCTGTAACAGCTCCACTGTTGTGAACAAGGGCCATCCTCCCATGTGTACCTGCACCATTAAAAAGCATATTAACTGTCATCATACACCGGGATGAAAGTTACTGAGTATGTGGAAGCAGCGAGTTCTTTAGCTGGAACTCATCATTATTAAGTACACAATTGAACAATGCCAGGCCTGCAGATTAATGATAGTATCGGCGTTTTCATTGGATCCTCATGATCTTTCACTGTACAGCCGTGTTGCGGTCTCCTGGGAAATCGAAAGCACTGTTTGAGGTACACGGAAAGAGGATAGAGCTGAATATGAAATGTAATGAAATAATAACGAAGAGTCTGAACCGAGACGGAAAACTCTTTATTGCCTCTCCCATTGTCAACGTAAGCACATTATAGATGCGCTCCTTCCGTTCTTACCTTCAGAAATTGAAACGCCTGGACTATTCCACCGCATTGCTGCTTCCCCAAGAGCATTTTACACAGAGGCAACTAAGTAGCTTACAGTATCTATCTACGGTTAGCAAAAACGGCCGATGGTGAAACAACCGCTGTCATATTAAAGCTAAGATCTCCATTTACATGACATTCTCCATCTCGTTGTGGACCTACTACAGATATTGGGCTGATTCTGGCGGTTCCTCTGGACAATACAGAAGTGTTTCCAAACAACAGAAGTCCTTCAGAAAACGTCTCATACCTCAACAATATATGCAAAGCATTTATGTAAGGGCAAGTAAGAATTGAATTAAGGAAAAAAACAAGTTGAGACCTGAAATATGCAAACGTTACTGCCATCATAAGGACAATGACATACTTTCAAAAAAGTTATTATCTTTTCATTACCCCCTGCCTTTCGAATTTAAGTTTCTTTTTCCAATCAATTTCACAAACGTGTTGCTTGAAGATTAATCAGAACACAATGATAATCTGACCAGAGAGAAAAAAAGTGTCTGTGCTTGTCCTAAAAAAATATCTATTATGGCTCATTCCATTAAACTACACCTCTGAAACTGACAGCCTCTCTGCAGCTCACATTCCTCCCCGTAATCATGAGGAGAAAAAACGAAGCTGCAGTCTGGCGGAATCACAAAAACCTACTTGACTGCAATTTTATATTTATGTTTTGCTATGGGAAATGCAAGCGTATAATACCCCCCTTATATCTCCCCCTTACCTGAAAATGCGATCAGAGGGCTGTTCTCCCATCACCAGATCAAAACCGCGCTGGAAGATGGTGTAGGGCCAGGGACTGACATGAGGAGCAAAAGGAAAAGAAAAGGAAACAGATCAGAGGAAGATACAAAAGAGGAGGGGAATAAATCAAAGAGGTGGCAGGCTTTTCATTTTTCAGTATACCAGTCCTCCTCCTCCTCTGAACCATCCTAAAATCAGACGCCTTGTTTGAGTGTCTCACTCAAGTCCTTTCCCGCCCTCACAGAAACACCCCACATCACAGTAGCGTTACGACAAGGGCTCTATGTAAACATGCTGATTGAGAAATTTGTTCCACAGCAGCTGACTCGCAAAGTGACTTTGGCTCACATCTATTTACCAGAAGAGAGGGGGGACAAGGGGTGAGGGGTGATAGCGAGTGCAGACGGTGGAAAAAAACAGACACAAAGAGAGGGAAAGAGAGAGGGAGAGTGGAACATGGCAGCCTACGAGAGAGGAAGAATGATGGAGATTAATGGGGAGTGGCAGCTCGGGGACTAAACTGTCTCACGAAGTGAGAGCGAGCGGAGGCGAAGTGACAGGGGCCCGATGTCATTCTGAGCAGGCCCCTGCACCGCTGCAAAGTTAAAAAAGAACATCGGGGACTCTTTCCGCGCCGCGACCCGTGGTCATTAAACATTGAAGTTACCCCCCTGGCCCTCCCATCCAGCACACTCTGTCACAATTGTTTGGGCAGCATAGGCTCCAGAGTACGGCGTGCTGCAGATGCTGATGTGATGGACATTTCCTTCGATTGCATCCACTAATGATCCACTGCATGACCGAAAACGCATTCTGCTGTTGGCTTACCTGATAGTGTGAGATTTGTTTGAATACTGTAGATGTAATTATCGGGCAATACTCCTCATCTGATTCAATACTCATCTAATTACCTAAATCCTCCAAAGCAGTGGTCCACAACCTTTTTTACCTCACGGGCCGTTTTCATGTCAGACAATATTTGGCGGAACGGTCAAGAAGGTCTGGCGGAATAATGTGGTGGGGGGGAGAGTAGTCGCGCGTAGTTCTTTCTGTGGTGCGGCCCGGTACCAAATGGAATGGAAGAATAGTATGGTAACAAATTAACAGTAACAATTTCATTTTGCGCTGAAGTTATTCTTTAATCATTCAATTTTCATTTGTAAAAAGTCCTTGACATTTAGCTGACACCACAGAGACCGTGTAAATCGCTGGGGGACCACTGATAGCGTGTGAGTGTGTGTATGTGTGTGCGCGCGCGCGCGTGGGGGGGCTACTGCTACTGAAGGTAGTGCTTACGTCAAATAAAACTAAAATAAATAAAACACTTATGTAACTTGTTGGTATTGCAGTTAATTATGAGCCCGTATATTGTTGCCATTTGATAAAAATAACTTACTTGGTGCTTAAGCACTTTAACATTTTAGAAAGGCATGGGTGCCATGGTAACAGTATGAAAAAAATGTGTGTATGTCATATGTTGATGGATTAGTACTTTTACAAAATATCAAAGTACCAGCAGAATTCAAAGGGACTTTTTTCTGAATATATTCATGTTATGTTGTGTTTTGTTCTCTTTTCACAAAAAGAAGCATAGGGCCTTTGTTATCATTTTGTAACTTCCTTGAGTCTTGAGCATCTTGAGTCTCTTCATAGTTTTTGTCTGAGTCATAATTTTGTTTATGATTATTGTCATGTCACCTCCTCCACATACACACTGGTCATCCAGCAGTTGGCACTGTGTCCATGATGTTAGCCAAATGTCAAGGACTTTTTAACGAGCAGACGTGAACCCAATTAGGCGTTGATATAGCTTGAAGGAGCATTTATTAATACCAAACAATATCAAGTTATCACTTAAAATCATTGTTATACAAAAAAAGTGACCTTGCACCCAAAGAGGAGGAGACGAAGAAGCGCAACGAAGCTTTCAAAACTTTACTGACTCACTATCGGCCCAAATGGGATTTATTGCTTGTGACACAACTGTCTCTTTTAGGCAATTACTTGAGGTGTTTTGGGGTTTGAGGCACTCCAATTTTAGATGTAAAGTTGCAATCACTCTTTATCTGATCTGGTACTTCTCATTCTGTCAAAATAAAGCTGTGCCTCTGAAGGGTTTTGTGAGATCAGCAAGAAAGTAGCGCTGTTGATTTCCCAGTAATGTCTGATCTTGTTCGGTTTGAAACCAATACATTTATAACAACAAGCTTGCATTACAAAGTGTGGTTTGAAATCAATTAAATGTAATAAAAGGATGCTGTTGATTGCATAATAGTAATTCTCAGATTTCTTGGCGCTTGAGCCATAGAAATAGTTTAAATATCTCAGCCTCTGCTGCTTTAATTTGTAATAAAGGTTAATAAAAGCTCTTGTCAGTTTGCAGATGTCACTCAACATTAATATCTATATTCCTGTTCCTTGTTCATTATTTATAAATTAATAAACAAATCAGAGGAATGTACTGGATGTCATAATACCAGATACGTACAACTTAATCATACACTTCTGTATTAGTGTTTGATTACCCCTTTTTCAGTTGGAAAAGTTCTTACTGTAATGTTTGTGATCAGGTTGGGAACAGTTAATAACTTCTTAGTTTGAAGGACAAACATTGTGTCTCCTAACCTCCTCCCCTACTACTACTACTACTACTTTTACCAACACTATTCCTACTTCTATTAATACTAAAATTACTATTATAACTCACAATAGTAAAAATAGTAGTAGAATAGTAGTAGTTATACCACAACTGATGTTCCAACTCATACTAGTATAAAAAACTTCTCATAGTATTTCTACTGCAATAACACGACAACCACTATTACTACAGATACTGCTATTACTAGTACTATTGGTAATACTACAACTGATATTACTACTACAAACGCTACTACTACTAGCATTTCTACTGCAATTAATACTAAAAAACACTCCTCCTACTACTACTACTACATTTCAGTATTTTTATGATGTCTTAAATTTAATTTAATTTTTTTTACATTTCTGTATTTTCAGCAGTTCTTTGAAATCAATTTCAGCTTTTAGCTTTCAGCATTCCAACGCATTTACAGCAGGACATGCATTTTTTAGTTAGACTTTGGAATGACAAGGATTAGAAGGGTCTAAGTGGTGAGTAGGGGCTGAGGAGGTCATGTTTCAACCAAATAAAATGGATCAAAAAACAAATAAAGGAATCTTAAAATCCTTTTCTGTATTTGACTGGTACCCACTAAAGGGAGGCTATGTTGAGTGATTTGGTCGCTCTTGGTACCAATGAGGAATTTCACTAGTACATTCAGAAGGAGCTGCAGGCGACATATGTCAATGGCACTAATGACATCATTTTTTTCTTCAATTTTTAAGTCAGGATTGAAAAAGAACCCTCACATATTTGAAGATAGAGGCCCAAAAACATTGGCTTTTTGTCATCAATCATGGGGATCTCTGTCCTGCAGACAGATAACAGATGACCACCCGTTAAGAGGCTGTATTTATTACCATGAGGTGAACATGTCGCAGCCTTCCACCATATTTCTTTTTTCGGCAGTGTGGTTTGTTATGAGATAAATATTATTTAAGAAATACTGACAATATACCACCGTCAAGCGTTTTTTAAATGGTTTAATGATTAAACAATGGATTTGTCCCATTCTGAATATTCTCTGCCTGATAAATGAACAACAGTATTCTATCATGGGGTGATTATCATAACTTACCCCTGATTGGGCCCCCACTCACTGCGGATGCACAGGTGCTTGTGGACCGGGTCCTTCATGTAGCCATCAAGGCAAAGGCATTCACCTGCAAACAGAAAGGCAGAGATTCAACTATGTGTTCATTAGTGAAGCTTTTTTTCTTTTACACAGTAGCAATTAAAATATTTCTTGTTTACCCTCATTTAGACATTAGTGTAATCAAAACAAGCTATTTTCCACTGGCAGGGCATTAACAGGTCTGTTATAGAAAACATGTTACACTCAAGTTAAAAATGTTTTTTGTGATACAAGGATAAACCTGTCTTTTATTAGGGATCAGCCATCCATCAATACTCACAAGCACGTGTCCCTGTTAGAGTGAAGTGGTCCAGCACTACAGAGCTGGAATTTACTATGTAGGGTCTTTTTAGTCTGTGACGACCATGTTTGTACTGGATTTTGTTATTGGTTATTAATAACATTTTGGTTTTATCAACTCCGCCATCTGGAAGAGATTCAAAAATAAAATGTCCATGCTTTCCTTTTCTGTTTTTGTTCTTGTGAGCGTGCTGCAGCAGTCTTAGGCCCGCCCCTCAATGCTCTCATTGGTTAAGATCCGTGAAGACTAAGCCAATACTGATCATCATACCCCTGTCCCCCTAACCCACCCACCAACCTGTGACCTATGGTTTGACTGTATGAGTAATCCGAGCCAGTGACTAATTAGCTTTAAAAATAACAATTGGTCTTGTTGAATTATTCACAGACATAGACAACATTGTTAAGATACTCTTATTTTGAGTGTCCGTTTGCACGACTCCCCCCCAATGTTGGAAATCTAGGGGAGACACTGGTTATAGTTAACTTTTGCAGCTCTTTAATTTCTTTTTCATGTGTTTATTTCAGAATCCCTGACAATAAAAAAAAATAAAAAAACGTAATGCCTGATAAAATAGTTGTCGGTGCTAACTAATTAATGCGTTTATGCAATTATAATGTGTTAATTTACTTAGCCTTAATATTTTAACTTTTTTTTTTTCTTTTCCGAGAGAGCCACAGCATCCAACGCCCCCCCTAGAACAGGGATGTAGGAGGGATGTGGATTAAGAGCATGCTCGGCAGTAAAGCATCAGCTTTTTGTTCCACCGTCAGCACCCAAGAGAAACGCTGGCCTCGACTTTCCTCAGTATGAGTGATGTGGCCTCACCTGCGGGTGAGAGGGTTACTCGGGGGTAACGTGTACAACATGCTCCGCTCCTGCTCAATAGGAGGCAATTGAAGGGCACCGGCCTGGGCTTATACAACACTGTTAATGGAAAAAGGTCAGCTGTCAGTACCTGCCCGGCAAAAGGAAATCATACTCGCTGATTGCCTCTTTTGTGGTGCTCGAGTGGGATTAAAAGGAAATGACTAAAGCAGCTTTTCAAGGCCTTTCAAGATTTGATGGCAGAGTTAGAGTCAAAATGGATTTGTTTTCTCTTGAGTTCTGTCCATGACAGCTGACTGGGTCGGGTAAAATAAAAAAGCTCTACAAACATCCAACATCAGCTTGTCAGCTTCTTCATTTTGAGCTAACAACACAAAACATTGAGTGCTTCAATTAGTTGAGCTGCTTAGCCGATGTAGGGGGATGACGAAGGGTGTGGAAAAAAGCACTTTGATTTACTTTTTCAGTCTTGACAGCAGCTGCAACAATCTTGTAGTAGCCAATATGTCAAAGTCAAATGGGTACATGGCTTCCTTCTGGGTGAGAAAGGTCATATTGAAGTGCAGTGTGTAATGTCCAGCGTTATGACTGTAGTACTGTAACAAGTACTGGTGCAAGCAGTGCTGCCTAGCTGGCAGCTGGGCAGCACTTCTAGGCTTGTAATAAATCAAGTTTAACTTACAATCAGAATATCACCAGTCGGAATCTGGCCATGAAATCAGCTGACTTGTGAGACTGGGCTGATTTGCTTGATGGTCCATAAAGCCAAAAAAGGTGAGCGCAATTTATTTGTCGTTAAAACTGAGATATCCGTCACAGTTGTTGTACAGACTTACTTCTGACTTGTTCAATGTGCTGATGCTATAGAAATGCCAGACTCTGGGAAGTTCATTTCACAATTTGACTCACGGTGTAAATTGTGTCCAGGGTGAATAAAATAAAGACAAGCAATGACATGATGGGATTCATTTAGATTTGTTGCAAAGCCAGCTGAAAAAGACCCAACGCCTCGCCTTGCTTTCAATTGCTGTTTCATTGCGCTCTGCGCTCCCTCCACTCAAGGCCAAACCTAGTCTACACTCGCAAGGTGTTACATCCCTTAAATGGTAAATATGCAGGCGCTGAGCTCCAAACTTGCTTTTCATTGCTTCCCCTACCTGTTTTTTGTGACCTTTTGACACAAACAGACACACACACCAGGAGGGGGTTTTGTGCAACGAGACTGAGAATAATTTAAACATTGCCTTTAAATAGCGCAGAAACCTTGTTCCATTGCGTGGGGAGCATTCAATGCGCAGAAGTATGCTTTCTCTCCACATACTGTTGTGGCAAAATGACCACGCCCATCAAGCAGATATCCGCATGCTGATCCACTATACGTTTGGTATGGTGCAGGAAGCAGGGCATTTTGTGTCAAACTATGGAGTGGAACTAGCCTGTGAAGCATCTACTTTTTAGTCTTCTTTATTACAGTCAAATAGACTGAACGTGATTGACCGGTCTCTGTCACTACCAGAACCGTGTACGACATCTCTACGTCACTCCTCTTCTCTCCAAATAAGGTTGTTAGCTGAAACCTCCAGTGTCTTTATGCCACAAAGACATCATTGCTGCGCATTACCGCTTCCATCCATCATTATCTCCTGCTGCAGAAATGAGGATTGGATTTACGCCATGAACAGCACCATTGAAATCCCAAACTCACTCGCAGTGACACACACACACACACACACACACACACACACACACACACACACACACATTTATGTACATACGTGCACGTATACACAGAAATGTGTATTTACAGATGCACCATGTGAAAAATGCAACACAATTACCGATGGCTCACCTTGCCGGTCCTGCTGTACCCATTTATGATTTTCTACAGGAGTGGGGGCAGGGTGTGGATTTAGGTGTGTGGGCAGGTCTCAGAAAGGACTCCAAGAAAGGCGAGTGGGAGACACCCCAGCCCTGGAGTTTTGATTCATTTAAAGGTCCCTGGGCTCAGTCGGCATTCCCCGCGAGGGAGTGTTGGGCCGCCGTATAATGGATGCAAACCAAGAAATGGGAAACTTTTCCCTCAGTGAATACTGGCGCCGATTTTCCAAGATCCAGTGAAATGGTTCATTCTGGATAAGTATTTTGGTTTCCATGAATGAAGTATACCTTCTGGATTGTAGAATCAGTCAAGAAATGATGGAGGAAAAAACTCTAGGTTGAGTTTTTATTTGTTGAGAAGAAAAAAAGGGTATTTGTCACAAAAGAACTAATTTAAAGTATTTTTTCTCTCAGCCAGTTTTTTTCTTTTAGTCCTCAAGCCAAAGCTATTTTTATAAGCGAGGAGCCAGTTTTGCTGGCGAGGCTGTCAACGCCTCCATGGGGAGCAAGACGTGTCATAATAAGCGCCGTACTTTAACAAAAAAAAATGTCAGATCATAACTTAAAAAAACCATTAAGAACTTATTTATGACAGAACATCATTAAAATTAACGTTTTGACGTTCTCTGAACATTCAAATAGAAGGAAAAAAATGAGTTTGAGAGAGTTGCAGAGATGAGGACTTTTAAAGGACTTGTTAAAACAAGGACAGGCATTGTATTATTCTGTTTTACAGGCATAGTGGATTCAGGGAAGAAAAAAATCTATTCACTGGCAGGGAGAGAGTTATAAAGAGCTTGTTAAACACCACAGAGTTCTGCAATTCTGTTTTATCAGCATGGTGCTCTCATCATTTGGACTTTGAATAATATGCTGTGTAGCTTGAATAAAGCAGTGTGTACAGTAGCTACACATGCACAAAATTCCATCTGTATGTATCGGAGGAAGCTGGACCAGATAAACACGGGGCCTATTGAAATATTAAGAAATTTAAGAATTTAAGAAAATAATTGTTTGAAATAAACAATTACAATTCTCTGTATCATTCATAAAAGTACTGTTACTCTTTTCTATGCTATTACCTTTATGTGAATGTGACATGACAACTGGCAGCAAAGCAATGAATTATATTGAAAGAGACACCAGTTCATAGGTTTAATAAAATAAATATATATATATATATATATATATCAACGACCTAAATGAAAAAAAATTTAGGCTTCAATACATTAAGTGATGCAGGTTATTAATAACTTTGATGCCATCCACTCCATTGTCTGGAAGAGATTTGAAATGAAAATGTCCACAGAATTTCAGTTTTTCTGTCCCCTGCTGCAGCAGTGGTATGTCCGCCCCCAAATGCTGTCATTGGCTGAGACGCGTGATGCATGGTGTGTCGGTATGTGCATTCAGAGTCAGTGAACCAATGACGGACTTTGAGAGTAATGGAATTTAAAAAATATGCGTTAATTTTTGATAAAATAATGCGATAATATCACGTTAACTTGCCCTAATGCAGTGGTTCTCAAACTTTTTCTGTGGGGCCCCACTTTGGAGGAAGAAAAATGTTCTGGCCCCCCGCCCCAACAAAACGAAACAAAGTGGTCCATGCTGAATATTATTGAAATAAAAACATTTGGTGACTCTATGTCAAGTTTTAACTTGAATAGTTAAGTTCAAATCTAAAACTTGTCTAACACTTGTCAGAGCTCTTTGAGTTAAAGAGACATAAGTAAATGGACAAGTAAGTGGACATAACGAAACAGGGCTGTGATGTTTTACAGTGCGGTTCGATCCGTGTTCTCTTCATAGTTTGAGCAAGACACTGAAGCCCCAGTGCTTCACCCCAGTGCTTCACAGCAGCACACTGCTCCCAGCATTTCTCCCAGCCCCTCGCGCCCCGTTGAGAACCACTGCCCTAATGACAATATAATGTAATTGTTTATACAACGAGTAGATGGGAAAAAACTAAATTTTTCAAGTGATGAACAAGCTCAATCTAAGTATTATTTTGATGCAAAGATCTACAAATTAGCCAGAATATTTTGCAAATTGTGCGTTTTTTTAATTTGGCGTAAAGAGTTTTGGTGGTTTCATTTCACTTCAGGGAGATCCACTTGGTTTCAATGCAAGTATAACAAATTAAAATAAAGTTATCTGTAAAACCAATGAATAATCATACATAAAAGCTCATTAACTTTTTTTACATTACATTTACATTTTTGTTTCTCGTCTGTTCTCTTGCACATTCTCTAATATCTTGATTGAATGGCATGACAATGGCTGTAGATTAGAATTGAGCCGTCCTAGCACATAGCATCTCTCAGCCAGGTTGCAGGTCATCTCTGGCCAATAGCATATACAAGCAATCTTGTCACAACACCTAAATAAGAATTTTGGGTGACGTGGTGTAAGAATTTAATTTCCTCTATGTTAATCAGTCATTGACACCCTCCCCTCCCATGGTGTTCTGCATGGTAAAATGACTGTTTATGACAAAGGATATCACAGATCCAGTTGCCCCAAAGGGCTATGTGGTGGTATGGTGATGCACTAGACTACTTGAAATATAGCATACACCTCAAAGATATTGATTTCAGATGTCTTGAATACGCTTTACAGCTGCCTTCGTCACATCTCCTGATGATCCTTCAGTCTGCTTCTTCCAAGCCTGTCTATTGCAGCTAGAACACTGACTATGGAGCAGTGGCTCATACAAACCCACTTCTAAACAGCCAAGATCCTTTTTGAAATTACAAATTGCGGCCGTGCTCTTATGCGGTTCTCACCTGGTGCCTGAGCAAATTAGCATGTATCCGCTCAGACCGGATGCAGCGGGAACAGTGGAAATGTACCACGATGCACGTCTGCTAACAGAAGTATTGAGTCCAATATTTGATGCAATTTGATATAAAACTTTTAATAAACAGGCATGACTGCCACACCCTCCTCCAGCCACTGAAGATTTGCACTGTTATTGTAAATCCATTTCTTACTGTTCACATTGCATAACTATTTCTTACTGTACATATCTATTTATTCACTTATTACACTTTACATATGCACATACTCTGCACTTTTTGCTGTTTTGCATTTCTGGTTGGATGTTAAACTGCATTTCGTTGCCTCAGTACTTGTACCCTGTGCAATGACAATAAAGTTGAATCTTATCTAATCTAATATGTGTCAAAAGGAATGAGTGAAACTAAACTGAATCAAGAAGTGGAGAAGCTCGGAAGTGATTCAACTTCACAACTGGACGGTTTTCTCAGCCCGGTCAGCTGTCTTTTTACCCGTCGGTGAGCAGAGAGAGCCGGAAGAGCCATGTCGGATGTGCAAAGTTGGGGAGGTACAGAGCAGTACAGGTACATTGGATGGAACTGAGCATAGGGCTATTTGACAATATATTTTCATTTGTCACAGTAAAATGCACATTTACAATTTATTTTGCTAGGATAACCCACCAGATGTTGCCATCAAAAATAATGGGAGGCTTTTATGAGTTGAATGGTAATCAAACTATAATTTGGACGCTTTGACTGTGGTTGTGCTGATGCAATAATTACTCAGTTTCGTCTATTGGATATGCTATTTGATTTTCTTCCTGGGATATCTCATGTTTGCTTTCCTGTTAAGTATTACGAATGAATGTGTTTTTCACCAAAACAGTTGCTGGGACCTCATTGTGTTCTTTATGTTGTGAAATTAAACTGGACTGTTGCTCTTCGAGTAAACAATCTGATGGATTTAAATTTGATTTCATCAACCTGGGCAAAAACAATTGGGCCACGATTTTACACTAGAAGGAGATTTGAGAGAGGATCACATTTTGGCATTTACTCCTCGACCTTTACAAACCTCCGAATTAGTTTCCACTTCAGTGGCTAGAGACAAACGCATTCAACTCTATCTCCTATAATTAATCTTTAATCCTCATCCTTTAAGATTTTCATAAATTTTGCTCAGAAAAACTAAAACTGCTATCCCCCAGAGACACAGGGAGTGGCTAAATAACAGATAGTGAGCTCACGCCACAGCCAAGATCAGCCCTGTTGCTTTTCCATTTGTCAGCAGAATAAACTGCCTGAGATTTGTAATTCTTTAGATTGCTATGGAAACAGACCACAGGCAAAAGGAGCCGGTTACTTTCTTGGAAAGTAGTCCTTTTAGTTCTACCAAAAAAAAAAAAAAAAATGGAGGTGATACTTTTGGTTCACTTTGTCTGTTCCTCAGCAGAATAATGGAGACTATACTGATTTGTTTTTCAGGAAAGAAGGAGCTGATACATATACACACACTATTTCTAATTTATGAAAATGTTGGATAACTATAGTTGACTACGGTTGATATAGTATACAGTTGTGGTCAAAAGTTTACATACACTTGTTAAGAACATAATGTCATGGCTCTCTTGAGTTTCCAGTTATTTCTACGTCTAAGTCTGATTTTTCTGATAGAGTGATTAGAACAGATACTTCTTTGTCAGAAAAAACATTCATGAAGTTTGGTTCTTTTATGACTTTATTATGGTTTAACAGAAAAAGTGATCATATCTGCTGGGTCAAAAATATACATACAGCAACATGAGTTAGCAATTTCGGTGACTTAGAAAGTTGTGTCAATGAAATGAGCTTCATAGCATGGCCTCTTAACTTCTTGTGAGTGATATGAGCGACTACAGCTGGTGACTCTGAGGCCATTTAAATAGGGCTCATTGGATACAAACGCTACAATGGGGAAGTCAAAGGAGCTCAGCATGGATCAGAAAAAGCGAATCATTGACTTGAACAAGTCAGGAAAGTCACTGGAAGCCATTTCAAAGCAGCTGCATGTCCCAAGAGCAACAGTGCAAACAATTGTTTGTGAGTATAAAGTGCATGGCACTGTTTTGTCACTGCCACGATCAGGAAGAAAACGCAAGCTATCACTTGCTGCTGATAGAAAATTGGTCAGGAGGGTGAAGAGTCAACCGAGAACCACCAAAACGCAGATCTGCCAAGAATTAGAAGCTGCTGGAAGGCAGGTGTCAGTGTCCACAGTCAAGCATGTTTTGCATTTCCATGGACTGAGAGGCGGCCGTGCAAGAAGGAAGAAAAGCGGCAACTAAAAGCTCGACAGAAGTTTGCTGCTGATCACATGGACAAAGATAGGACCTTCTGGAGGAAAGTTCTGTGGTCAGACCAAACAAAAATCGAGCTGTTTGGCCACAATGCCCAGCAATATGTCTGGAGGAGAAAAGGTGAGGCCTTTAACCCCAAGAACACCATGCCTACCGTCAAGCACGGTGGTGGTAGTATTATGCTGTGGGGCTGTTTTGCTGCCAATGGAACTGGTGCTCTACAGATAGTGATGGGATAATGAAGAATGAGGATTATCTTCAAATTAAAAAGATAACCTAAAATCATCAGCCCAAAGGTTGGGTCTTGGGCGCAGTTGGGTGTTCCAACAGGATAATGACCCCAAACACACATCAAAAGTGGTAATAGAATGGCTAAATCAGGCTAGAATTAGGGTTTTAGAATGGCCTTCCCAAAGTCCTGACTTAAATCCCATTGAGAACATGTGGAAAATGCTGAAGAAACAAGTCCATGTCAGAAAGCCATCAAATTTAACTGAACTGCACCAATTCTGTCAAGAGGAGTGGTCAAAGATTCATCGAGAAGCGTGCCAGAAGCTTGTGCATGGCTACCAAAAGCGCCGAATTGAAGTGAAAATGGCCAAGGGACATGTAACCAAATATTAGCACTGCCGTATGTATATTTTTGACCCAGCAGATTTGATTACTTTTTCTGTTAACCCATAATAAAGACATAAAAGAACCAAACTTCATGAATGTTTTTTGTGACAAAGATAGAGTTCTAATAGAGTTCTAATCACTCTATCAGAGAAAAATCTGACTTGTAGAAATAACTGGAAACTCAAGAGAGCCATGACATTATGTTCTTTACAAGTGTATGTAAACTTTTGACCACAACTGTACATAATGCATATTTTTTCCTTGACTCCTAATGGGGTCAAACTGAGTCATTGTCATTTTAAAAGCGTTACATTTTGTAGAGTTACTGTATTTCATCGCTGTAGAAACGTCCCCCTGCGACATGCCTGTGGAGGGCTATGACATCTTTTTCTGTTACGTTTTCTTTCATTCATTTTTTCATCTCGATCCCATGAGGCGCTTTGCTTCTTGCTTAGCTGTCACTACAAATAACATTTTTTTTTTACAGATTTAGACCAACAAAAGAATTGCTCTATCGTGTGTGTAGGCAATGAAATGGGGAACGAAAGCACACTATTTGGTCACAGAGCCCTTATGAGTGCAACATTCATGTTATTGGCCGGTGCTACATTTTCTTCATGATGGAGGTTAAACATGTAAAATAACTGTTATAGAATAAAGCTAACACACAACCACAAAAATAAATATCTCTAAGGACATAAGAAATAGGTTGAGAGGGTAAGACTGCTGCATGTTCACTGCATGGTCGAGTTGCAAGCATAAAAAATAAGCCAACGTTGCACCGACTTTAGCTTCACTGTGTTTTCTGTGGATTTGACAACAGACGCTAGTCAAGTCAGAGAGTAATAAGACCCTGCTTATTTCACCAAAATCCCAAAGGTTTCCACGGTTACCATCATGGTACGAGACAGAACTGCCCCTTGTTTATGTCACGTCCTAGGGCTCACCTGTCTCAGGGTCACACTGGTGCTCACACGGGTCCAAGAGGCGTCGTCCGCACAGCTCACCAACCCAGAGCCCACTGGCATTCTGCTGGTAGTACAACAAGATCTGTGCTGGGTTCAGCCAGTCTGAGGCATCCAGCTGGCTCCCCTGCAGCAAAATAAACCTGGATCCTGAGGAGGAGGGAGGGAGGAAGGAATGAAAATAAACATGAATGGAAGGATAAAAGATGGTGAGTGTTGAGGAGAAGGAGAAAAGGGGGGGGGGGGCAAGGGATGTGGAGAGTGGACGAATAAACAGCAGGTGGAAGGAGAACGGAAAAGCAGTACGTTATTGGAAATATGCCCAGAGATAAAATATGAAAAGAGAAACAGCACAAAGACACCGTCTATTTTGGACTCCGACGCAGGTCAACACACAAATCGTATTTCAAACTATAAAAGTAGGTACTTTTTTAAGTATATAAATGTATGTGCATGAACCATAGATTGACTACGGTACAAACCCTGAAAATGAATAGCAAATTAAACATAACCCTCTAACAAGATTCTCAGCCGCTTCTGTGATATTTAAAAGATAATAATCCTTTTGTATTATTATCATTTAGGATTCAAAGCAAGAGTTGAGACCCACCCAGTGCAACAAACTGTGCCCGCTAAAAACCAAAAGATACAAACACTCAAACTGTGATGGATTCTGATGAAACAACACCAGCGATGGCAGGATTAACACTCCTGTTGGTTTATTGTCAGCGAACACAGGCTCACGCTTTGCTGCCCTGCAGTCACACGTGTGCCAAGACCAGGAAGGCAGCGGTGAACAAAGTAGCGGTTTGAATTTGTGTCCACATTCCCCCACTGTGTTTGGATTAAAATGAGTGAGGATTAATATAGTGAAGGTTCTGACAATGTCATAAATAAATAAATTGCATGTTAGTACTGTTTGCACTGCGTACTTTGTGCATTAAAGGGGGGGGGGGCGCTCTGTTTGACCTTGCCGTCTTGCTGGTGCAGTGGGCAATGTTTTATGCGCATCCATCCTTTTTGTGTGTTGGTTGCCGAGCCAATGACTTTACATACAGTGTGCGTTTCATTTCACTGGGATTTAAGATGATGGAACGCACAGGTTAAACGTGATACACGTAATTGATGTGACTCTAGCTGGAAGGCAACTGAGTTCCAGTTCAGTGTCTGTGAGAACAAAATAAAGCCTTCCACAAACTCTCAAACCCTGAACTTTTCAGGCCGCTCCGCAGGTTCAACAAACACCTAATGGTTTGCTTATTGGTTTTCACCTGAACTCCCCAGGAATCTGGAACAAATGTTTCTCCTCTTCCCCCACATGTACATTATTAGCAGAACTTGTGACAAAAATAACACAACGGGATGGGATTAGAGTGTCAGGTCAACACATTGTCTGCAAACAACCATTGAGGGTCAATTTAAGTCAATATTACTGTAGTTAAAGCCTCCATGAAAGGTGAAAACATAAAAAAACTGTGACCATATTTCCCCTAGAATCTTGACAATGTTAATAAACTGCATTGTCCATTTGGACTTTTAATTCTGGGTCTTAGGGGAGAATTGATCTTATGCACACTGTGAGTCTCTCAGGAACTCTGATCTAAACTAGTCCACAGTTGCATAGTGTCTTACTGCTGGAAACCATGTGTTCTTTTATTGATACATTTGTTGTCTTTCACAACAAAAAAACACAAATTATTGACACATATTGACACCCTGAAATGTCATGTTTCATTTTGCATTTTGCTAAACGTCATTGGGTTTTGGGAAGTGTTGGGTTTTGACCCTCAAAGCCACCGTAAAAATACGAGACAATGCACAACACTGCATTGGTGAGATTTGTCTGCAAGTATTACCAATTTAAAAATCTAATTGTTGTATTGAGTACACTTGACAACTGATTCAGGGTTTACAGCTTAAATACTCCCCTAAGGGGGCCAGGCAGGACATTATCAATATGTGAACTATCTTCTAATTAATACACTATTTAACTAATTCACTGAAGCTGCTTTGAAAAAGTAAGTATTAAGAAAATTTGCATAATTGAAAATACAAGCAGCCAAGCCAAAGAAACACAGCCACAAGTCTGATACCGGGAGACAGAGGTCTCTTGGCACCCGACAAGGGAGGTGTCACTACATCACTCGATACCGAGAGCTACCTGCTGAGTGATTCCTGCAAATACGCCCTCCCCGTTTGCAAACATGGGGAGCACTGGGCATTTGTTAGCCCAAGCATATTAAATGACTAGTTGGCAGGGTCTATGTGCTCCAGTTAGTGCCATCCCCTTTGATGATCCCTTTTAAAAAAGAGCACACACTGCAAAGGGCCGGACACATCTTGTTTGTCTAAGTGTGGTGAGTCACAAAGCTGCTTCAATCTTAAATCTTTCCAACTTTATACACCAAACAGCAATGTTTCTCCTCTGGTGGCACATTTAATGGTGGACAGTCTTCAATGTCTATGGCAATGTGGCTATGCACATTGAAATAAATTATTTTGTTGAACATAAATTACGGGAGTCCTTAAAAGAATGCACAAATAGACTTAGGTATTCAAAGTATCTTGTGAGAAAAAAAAGAAAGTTACAATTTTTTTCTGGTAGCAATTGAAACAACTCTAGCTACCTCTGCTATTGGATGGATTGACATGAGATATTTTACAGCCATGTATGGATCCCAGAGGATGAATCATGCTGACTCTGGAGATCCCCTGAATTTTACCGACGCACTACCATTGTGTTTTCATTCGTGGTATCACAACGTTTGATAAAGCTATTTATGGTTCCCAGAGGATAAATCATATTGACTGAAAATGTTCCTCTAGCACTACTATGGTGTTTGCACTCGTGGTCAACAAGCTGACAGCATGGATTTTTGTCCCTCAGTACCGCCCTGAAGGCATTTCTTCCCAACCCGTTACAAGTCGCTAAGATTGCCGACCATTTTCTGATATTTTCAGTATCCCTCAAATTGTGAGAGTAGCTGAGTGTATTATTACATATGGTAGATGCCCAGGCATGACTTCAGATATCATTTGAACATGTAAAACACAGATGGCAGTGCAAAAGCTATTTCCACAAAATAAAATCTGGGACGATAAACCTTGCCCATATTTCTATTTTAGACTCCAGGGTAGTCATATAGAAATGCCTGTCCTTTGTTACAGCATATCTTGAACAGCAGTAGATGTTCTTTCATCGGATCGAGGAATCCAGATTCTCATCTGATTCTCCCTGACATCAGTACTTTACATTACAGTTCATTTAGCTGACGCTTTTATCCAAAGCGACTTACATTACACTTTAAACCCATGGCTTTTACATTTTGCCCGGGGAGCAATTAGGGGTTAGGTGTCTTGCTCAGGAACACTTCGACTTGAGACATGGGGCAGCCGGGACTCAAACCACCAACCTTGCCGTTCCCAGTGCACCCGCTCTACCCCCTGCGCCACGATGACATCAAAATCAAGTGTGATGAGAGAGATCATTTAGAGAAACATAATCAATTGATCCGGGATTTGTAATTAAACAGGCGGATTTGCCATCACACATCTCTGTTTTAAAAGTTCTCTGCCCCGGCAGGCTGGCGGGAAAGCCGTAGCGCTCCGGATCAAATCGGACCTCCAGATGATAGATGAGTGAGTACCAGTCACAGTCTATAATATATCTGGATTCCCATCTCCCTCCCTTGACAGCTGAAAAATTCCATATACCCCTGCAGTGCTTTATTTCCGCCCGTTACCCGCAGGTGTTACAAGGAAAACTCATTATGGAGGTACGGAGAGAGGGCGAGGGAAAGAGTGATGATGGGGTATGCAGCGGGTGGTCACTACGACCTGGCCTCAATGTGCTGTGATGCTTTGAGGGCACATCTGTTGTGTGATCTCACATGGGAAGCCAAGTAGGGGTGGGGGGGGGGGGGGATTCAACCTGGCATTTACCTTTGTCTTCGCTTGACCGCAACAAACCGGGGCGGCCCCGTTAGAGAAAAAAAATTAGCGGGACTCCTGTGAGAGCAAGGCGGAAAAATGCCAGTCCAGCCCCATGAGGCTGTGTGTGCATGCATGCGTGTGTGCATGTGTGTGTGTTTCAACCAGTCTTACCGTCAGCTATGAGATGCTCTGGCACATGCAGGATCACCCGCACCGAGAGGTTGCAGGACATGTGTGAGGAGTAGACCAGGCCGATCACGCAGCTGATGACGCTGATCAAAGTCAGGGTGGTCTTATTGATGGGGCTCCGCGGGGAACCTGCTGCAGGGTGGAAGCAAACGCACAGGGACAGGAGTGGGGGAGATGTGGGGACAACAAACAATGGAGATGTGTGAAGCAGTTTCTTTTTTCTATAACCCCCCCGGCCCTCCACATGCCCCTCCGGACACACACGCACACAGCTGAACCAAACAAAACGCGCAGCGCTTACACAGCGAGTTGTTTTTTCATAAACAAGCCAGAAGGAATGGATCAAAAAAACATCAAGAGGGGAGGTTTAGAACGGGGATAGCTCAGTGGCACAGAAATAGGTCTACCATTGAAGGGCTTTAACATCCAAGCTGGGACGTCGGAGATAAAAAGAAAAAGAAAAAAAAGACCAAGAGATACAGGCCTCAATAAAAGGGATGGAGGTTGTTTCGCCCCTTTCCCTCTCCTCGCACTCTCTGCCTGAGCTCTAAACACCTCCCTTATCTCTTTTACTCCAGAGTGCAACGCGGAAAGTGTTAAACGTGACCCGCAGGGGCATGCACACAAACACACACAAGTCACAGTGACCTTGAATAGAGCCACTCACACTCTGTTTCAAAGGGGGTATTTTCTCGAATAACTTTCCCTTTGTCACTTTTTAAATGACTGTGGCAGATTCTCATTTAGAAGCTGCCCCAGGCAATCCTTTAAACAAAAGCCAAAGTAGAAAGCTGACCTGTCGTATTATGTGAAAAGTTAGTGTATTCAATCCAGATTTTGATTTTATTTTTTAAATATCTCAAGTAGGGTTTCCAGTTAACCATTCAATATTGTCATCATACGTCCGAGTTGGCAGGATGCTCTCGTCACGCCTAATGAATCCTTCCTTCTTCCTATGGACGTAAACAGCGTTGCAGCCGTTCTAGTCTGGTCTATTCTTAAGCCTCGGCCTAATTAAAGGTGTTGGCTACACTGCTAGAGGCCTCGCCTTGTCTGAGGCACCTGTGCACACGGCAGAGGAGTAATTGGCTCAGAAGGCTTGTAACGCTGTCTGACAGCAGCATTGTTTTGAGGGCATTCTCTTTAATTTTATCTCGGCTTTTTTCCCGGCCTGATGTCTCCCTCCCAAACGCCACCACTGTCTATCGGCGCCGCGAGGACGTGGTGCGTGCTGTACCACGTCTATAGGACACATATGAACAGGCACCTCCTTAGGAATAACATTTTTGTGGAATTTTATTCGGCCTTTCTTTTCATGTTGAGAGATGATGTTTGACATGAAATCAGCGTGGCATGCTCACTCCTAGAAATACAGACACCTATGTACACACACGGCACATGGTGAACACAACCACATACACATACAACACCATGGAGCCATCCGTGGGTTATGTGCACTGCAAAGGTTGCTGATCATGCGTGGTGGCGACGGGTGCTGCTTACCCCCTGAGCCCCACGCGCTGTTGGCGTTACCGTTTCTCATACCCCGACTCCGGCGGCGACTGCGGTTTGGGTCAGTGTAAAAAGCCAGCTGAGGCTCGCTGTCTGCCTCTGTTCCAGAGTCCCCATCTGGGTTCAGGAACGTTGAACCCGCTGTTGGGATTCATACATAGAGAAATAAAAATTGAAATAAAAGATACACCTACAATGAGAGAGGGGGGGGATCTGGACCAACAGAAGATTTATTTCATCGTCAAGTTGCTTCGTGGAGGCTGTCAGAGAGAAGCCAGCCGGTGGCATGTACGCAGCTGAATCAGCGGTGGCAGCAGAGCATAAATATTTCCTTCAATCCATAACTGAAATGTAAGCTAATGGAGATGGAAGCCTAACAGAAAGTTAACAGTATCATATTCAAAAGAAAAGGCTGAAAGACACATTTACGTCCCACAATGCTGCTGGTTTAACCTCTGATTGAGCTACTTTGTTTGCCGAACCAGCCTGAAGACAATATTATGGATCCGAGTGTCGAGAAGTGATGATACAAATGAAGCCAGGCGAGAGTTCCCAGCACACAACGGCGCTTCTTGACGTCATCTGCGCTGAATGATCGAGTGGGTCCTCCAGGGGACGCAGTGTATGTGAATCATACCACTTTGTTAAAAACACGAAAAGTTTTGCTTTCTAGAATGAATCACTCATAGCTTTAATTTGTAAATATCTGCGACGGAGGAAAGTTAGTATAATGACGTAATATTCAAGTTGGATGTGTAAATCTGAGCTATTGTTAAATAGTCTGAGCAGGAGATACATGAGGAAAGGAAGAGAGAATCCCGATAACTGTACACAGACTACTATCATGAAGGAAGTATTTATGGATTGTTAAAGTTGTAATGGTATTTGTCCAGAAAAACAATCCACTTTTGTTTTAAGTTTCTTACATGTACCATGAGATTAAATGGGGAAAATGTGAAACTTCTCACATCTGTGAAGTTGGAACCACCAGGTGTACGGTGTTTATTTTAGGACCTCTTGATCTCAGACTCAAACGAAAAGGCGTCAGGTCTCAGACCAAAAGTCGTCAGACGGCTTCAGTCTCCTCCATCGATCTGAGAATGTCCTAAAATGAACACCATAAAGGTGGTTGTACTTAAAGCATCATTTGGTGACACAGTATGTGTCACGTTGGTACAGCTCACTTTTACATAAAGATAAACTGCCCCCCTGGATTGGGCAAATGGCTGTAAAGGAAGAACGTTTGGGGATTTCGTTTGGGTAAATTAGTGTCCCCATTTGGATGAACGAGAGAGACAGTGATAAGAGCCAGCATACTTTTTATTGCTGACTAGAGCCGGCGATGGCTGGAAATACAGTTTTGTTGAGTTTTACTTTGATCAAGTTTGAATCAAGTGTTTTACGATGCCTTGGCAAGGCAAGGGGAAAACTCTAAATAAGATAATAAGGTAAATGTACAGGACTGTCTCAGAAAATTAGAATATTGTGATAAAGTTCTTTATTTTCTGTAATGCAATTAAAAAAACAGAAATGTCATGCATTCTGGATTCATAACAAATCAACTGAAATATTGCAAGCCTTTTATTCTTTTAATATTGCTGATTATGGCTTACAGCTTAAGAAAACTCAAATATCCTATCTCTAAATATTAGAATATCATGAAAAAGTATACTAGTAGGGTATTCAACTAATCACTTGAATCGTCTAATTAACTCGAAACACCTGCTTTCCTGAGCCTTGCAAAACACTCAGCTTGGTTTAGTAAACTAAATCACAAGTATGGGGAAGACTGCTGATTTGACTGCTGTCCAGAGGACCATCATTGACCATCATTGAGACCAATACTGTATATTGTATCATGGATTACATTTTATATTGACATATTAAGTTTCAAATGAGCCTTCTTATACTAAAAAAAATCTTTGAAAAATTGGGGATTCTTTCCCAATTACATGTGCTTCCCTCCTGACACATTCCCCAAGTGTCACACAAGCGTTTTTTTGCCGTGCGAAGCAACTACTACTTTCCCTCACCTCCCCGTAGGGGTACAAAAACTGCTGTTATTATACAACTCGTCTGGCATTTCAGTCGGTGTGCTTCAGCCGAGGCATTAGCTATATTTAGAGGCCATGTATCGAGGCTTCTCTTACCAGCAGATTGCGAATGAAAAAGTAAGGGGGAAAATCCATCAAAGCAGCAAAGATTTGCTGCCTCAGCGGGATGCGTGTGTGAACTGAAACAAAACTGATGCTAACGTTGCTTAGCGGCCACATCTCTAAAAGACGAAGACGCAGACATTTGATTAAACTTGAGAAGATCTAGCTGAAAAACCCCCCCCAAAACCTGGGAATGAAAACCCTGTTGGCAGCGACAACAATGTGACAGACTGAGAAGGACTTCTTGATGACAGTAGCCTCATCAGTATTTCATATTGTTGGTTTTAGAACAATGTGCTCTGAAGAAATGAATGCGTCGTGGAAATAGTATTGGCAGCCGTGTCTATCTGACGGCACAGATGTTGCCACTGCTTCACTTCACAAGCAGGGAGGCTTTTTTGTGATGACACCATTGTTTCAGCAGCATTTCACACTAATTCAATAATAAAACAATATTGATTGCACAATGCTCCCCCCCCAAAAAAAAATTTCCTCTTGGCCAAAAATCCATATCACGGTATTAAGAAAGATTCTGACGGTGTCCCGGTATAGCTTTTTCAATTAATTGACCCTGAAAACAATCGCCTGCTGCCCGATCAGCTGTTGGCCGCTCACTGGCCAACTTGCTCGCAGCTGGCCAGCAAGTTAGCTTGTTGTCTCTTAGGCACAAGTTGTGTTGGTGCATCTCTGGTCTCTTTTTGTTCCTCCTGTATCGCTCTTTTACATGTTTTCATGAAGCAACAAAGTTACTTCTTGTCGTGAGCTGTACCCAGCATGCAGTTCGTCGGGGTAATTGTAAATGTACAATTATTAGTGTTACAAATTGTTTATGTGTCACAAGCTGTTGTGTTGTGGTGTTTCACCCTGTTCTTATGGGAACCCATGAATAACCTTATTCAAACTGATTCATGGCTGTTATAAAGTTCTAACCATGACTCTCGAATCTCGTAACAGACATAAGACAAGTAGCTGTGACCGCTGGGCGCACCTCAATGACGTGTTAAAATAAATTCTGCTAATCTGTCAGTTGTTATGGCGTAACACCGGTATGAACGGTACGTGAGAAATTCATATCGTAAAATACACCATTCACTCTCAAATCCACACACCTACGGGCAATTCAGTCACCAATCAACCTATCCCCCAGAGCATGTCTTAGGACTGTGGGAAAACCCGCAGTACCAAGCGAGAACCCACCCAGACATGGAAAGACACAGGGAGAACATGCAAGTTCCACACAGAAAACTCGCTGTGTGGTTTCGATCAGAGGACAACGTTGCTATAAGGGGACAGTGCCAACCACCACTAACCACCACCCCAATGTGCCGCCTAGTCAAGTGATGTGATTGACTAAACATACTGTCTAGCAATCACAAAATTGTATAAATAATTAGCTAAAACTTTGATGGTGAGCATGGAAACGTTATAACTGCAGAACATAAGCATGCTAGCCTCATTGTTGTACGTTAGCAATCCGTCATTAGCATTTAGCTCCAAGCCTCGCTGCATCATCAAGGAGTAGCTGGCGGGCTTCCAGTAAGCTTGCAGTAATCCAGTATCCACGTTGACTCTTCTCAATGGTTGATTTTGTTATTTACGCCACTATTTAGAAGTGTGACGCATGATGCTCTCGGTACTGTGTTTCAGCCCTTCCAGTGTAGCCGTTCAGAACAACTAAAAACCATTGTGATGCCTTGCATGGTCAGAAAACCCAGCGTACTTACTACAGTAACTATGTTGCCGCAAAAACACACTCAAAGTCAAAGAACTTCTTCTCTGAACTGCTATCGATCCACTTTCTGACAATCACATTATTCCAACACAAACAGAAAGCAAACCCAGAGCCTTTAATCCCCAAACAGTAACTGTTTTCACTGACTTGTCCATATCCACCCCAACAATAAAGTCATTATGTTAAATGACCTGTAATGTAATGTAATGTAATTATGTATGCAGATATTATTTGAGTTTAATCTGTTGGCAAGTCTGGTTGTGGAAAAATGTCACAATTTGTCTAAAAGTCACTTTCACGGCCTGTGACACTTATTGACCATGCTCTGAAGTTTTATACTAAGCACTTGTTCATATGATGTGTAGTATTTCATTACAATTCTCAAGCACACAACTTTAGGAAATGAGGCATTCCAGTGGCTCTCTGAAACACCCAAACAAAGCGGCGCCACAAAGAAGTTTGAGTTTCATAGCAGAGGGGACATAAAAGAACCCGTGGCCACATTGTCACAGTACTACAATTGAATAACTTACAAAGCAGTTCATAAAGTGCCAGCGGATTTATTCCCTATGTGATTCACAAGAGGAAATTCCTCGCAGCTTCTGAGGTTAGATGAAGCCGACCAAAAACGGAGATTGCACTGTATGTATACACTGAAATAACATTTATAACAATGAGTCAAAAAAAAATGACAGATGTATATCAATGCCAAAACACAACCATTTGAAAATGTCCAATTAGTGGGGAATGACATACTTTCTACGGGGCTTACGTGTCCGCTTGGTGTGTACATGTAGTTAAGTTCCACCAGCAGGGTCGCCTTCAACGTTCCTGCAGGAAAAAGGCACTCAAAACATAATCCCTGGTATTCGGAGTAGAATGAAAGTGCCTCCTGAGGAATTAAGACAAAATCTCACACCGCAGGTATTCGTCAGCCTTCACTATTAAAACCGGAGCCGAAAGGTGCTGCGCTCGCTCTCTCCTGTGAAAATGAGACTGGGCCCCTCTTAAGTATTCCCCCCATGATTGTAGCCTGCAGCTCAGCATGCGCAGCAGGCACAAGTGCCTCTTATAAAGCAGAAAAAAACAGTTATTATTTCTAGTGCACCACGGCTCTATAAATATGGAAGGGTGGTGGAGTGAGAGAGAGATGACACAAGAATGACAATCCATCCTGACGGAGGTGATTCGGCGAGGACGTCTCAGCAACATGGACAGCGATGCAGCTGAATGATGTACAAAAAGAAGGATTT